CTGTGCCCACGCTGCTGGGGGTGACCCGTGCTACCAGGAGCTTTGGGGCTGTGAGATCACAGGGTTGGCTCCTGACCAGCTCAGAACCTTTTAGGGAAACTCTAAAATATTATTTCCTGCTGGGATTTTTTTTTCCCCCCAGCCTTATCCCCCCCCTGGTGGGAAGGAAAGAGGGAGCTGCTCACCTGGATTGATGCTGAAGGTGCTCTGGAGGGAGCTACGCCTCATGCAGGTGACAGTGCTGGTGACAGCATGCATGTGGGAGAAGAGCTGCATGGCACAGAGGGGGTACTGGGGGGCAGCTCCCTCACGGGGGAGGTTGTGGTCTTGGTAACACTGGAGGAGAAAAGAAAAACCACCATCAAACGTCATCGTTTGGGAGCAGGGCTGTGCCCTGGGAGATTTTTACTGTAGGTTTTAAAATGGAAGCTGAGAGACCAGAGAAGTTCTGCCCCTCTCCTGCTTGCTGGCAGCACCTGCTTGATGACTTGGGTCTCGTTGGCATCTTCCAGGAGGAAAATGGGGAAGTCAAAATCCTCATAGGAGAGGCCACTGCCCACGGGGTTCCACACGGTGGTGTTGCAGTGGGCGAACTGGGGCCCGTAATCTTTGGAATAGACACCTGGAAAGAGAAGGAAAATGGGGCAAAACTGATCCCAGCAGAGAACACCAGCTAGGGGGAGAGGTGGGGCAGGGTCTCAGCACTCTCAGCCTCCAAAATTTCCTTTTCTTTCTATTCTGAATCTCCCTCTTTTAAAGCATCGCCCCTTGCAACAGGCTCTGCTCCGAAGTCTGTCCCCAGCTTTGTGTCAGGCCCCTGGAAGTCCTGGCAGCCCCCAGAAGTGTCCCCCCCAGCTGGAGCCTTCTCCTCTCCAGGCTGAACAACCCCAACAACACTGAAGGAAAAGCAGCTGCAAGAACTCTTGGTCAGGTTTGACACCTCAGTGCCCACCTGGCCCAGCTCTTGGGCTGAGATTCCAGCTCCCACTCAGCACTTTGAAAGGACCTTTTGAGCCTGTGGGACAACCCTGGACATGGGAGTGTAGCTGCTCTTCCAGCTCTCCTTGGCGCTTTCCCTGAGCCCACAGGTGATGTCCTTACCAAACCCATCATTGGGGCACTTCAGACCAGGAGAGAAGCCCTTGGGAGGGCTGGGGGTGGCAACAGCCACAGCCAGGCCTGACACTCGTGAGGTTCCCTTCAGCTGCAGCATCACGCTCCTGGAGGAGAGAAAACATGACAGAAACCACCCATTTGGTAAAGAAAGCTGAAAATCCAAACCACCCTGGGGCTGGGGAGTTAGCTGAGCTGCTGCTTTTCATCAAAAGAACCAATAAATCCTGCAGCTTCCAAAATTTCTTCCTTCTCTCCAGTCTCAATCTCCCTCTTTTAGTTTAAAACCATCACCCCTTGTCCTGTCCCAACA